AACTGCAAACTGTTTCATTCACCGCTGGAGTTTTCCTCGTTTATCCTGGTCAGTCAACCTCAGGCTTGTGCTGGCAAAGCACTGCAGCCCCTAGCCAGTCAGGTAATTTGCTTGAACTGGAAACATCCCGTCTCCCTACTCATTGTTTTAGGGGATTTTATCTGAGCAAACCTCACCCCCAAACTTCCTAAATACAAACAATAAATCAGTTACTGTATCCCACCAGGGACAAGAAATACACTGGACCACTACTACACAGTAATAAAGGGCACCTATCTCTCTGTCCCTGTGCAGCCTTGGAACTCTCTGATCACTGCATGATCTACCTCATCCAGACCTATATGCAGAAACTTAAACCTGCAAAGCCTGTGGTTAAAACAGTGAAGAGATGGGCTCCGGAGACACAGGAGTTGCAGGCCTGCTGTGACTGCACAGAGTGGCAGGTTTTTGAAATTGCTTCTACAGACCTAGTTGGACTCAGTGACACTATGACATTATACATAAACTTTTGGGAGGCTGTGTGTACCCACCAAGACCTTCTGCACATAGAGCAATAACAACAAGCCCTGGTTCACAGTAAAACTAAAGCCAGGATCCTGTACAGCTAGGCCAGAAACTCACTGACTATGGAGATCAAAAGAGCAAAGAAGAGCTACTCTTGAGGCTGCGTGGAGAATGTTTAATTCAATTCAATTTTATCTGTATAGTGCCAAATCACAACAAAAGTTGTCTCAGGACACTTTATACTTTACTTTATACACTTTATATAGTGAGATCTAAACCTTACAATTATTAATATTATAAAGAAAAAAAACAACAAATCCTCCTTGAGCAAGACACAACAAACACTACAACAATCAAACACTAGGCTCCTTGATGTGACTGGTGATTGCTCATCAGAAACATATAGCCCCAGAGCCAGCAACAGAAAGGTACAGGGGGAGAGAGAGGACACACTACGGGACAGAGGAGACATACAGTTAATGGCATGTAATCATAGCATATAAAAATAAAATGGAGAGGGGAGGTAGAAGGAGAGCAGAGGAGCTCAGCATCATGGGACGACCCTCAGCCTAGGCCTATAACTAAGGGATGGCACACCAAACCAAATTTATCCTAGAATGCATGTCTAATAATCTCATAGACACCACTACATGGACTCAAGCAAAGGCCATCCTGTTGACTAGAAACCACTGGTATGGTTAACTATACTCAGTGGCAACAGGACAGGCCAGGCCCCATGTTTGCTTGCAGTTACCAAGATGGCTGTCAGTCTTATCCCTGTTCAGCCACATTAGTTGACATAATGGCATGAAATATCAGAAGACATCACAAAATAGTAAGTACCTTTGTACCCTCGCTCACTGCCTTACTCGGATTATATTGAAAAACAACAATATAATATTAACCTAACTATAAGCTTTATCAAAAAGGAAAGTCTTAAGTCTAATCTTGGCAACAAAGTATCATCTGCGTAGTAATGGAAAATTTATGCTGTGTTGCCTGATAATATTGCCTAAAGGGAGAATGTATAAAGTGACTACAATTGGACCTAGCACATAGCCCTGTGGAATGCCATGACTAACTTTAGTCTGCATGGAAGATTAATCATTAACATAAACAAATTGGAATCTGTCTGATGAATATGATTTGAACCAACTTAGTACAGTTCCTTTAATCCCGATAACATGTTCAAGTCTCTGTAGCAAGATGTTGTGATCAATGGTGTCAAAAGCAGCACGGAGATCTAAGAGGACAAGTATAGAGTTTTTTTATCTGAGGCTGGGGGGTACATCATTGGTAACTCTCACCTGTTCAGTTTCTGTACTATGATGGACTCTAAAACCATTCTGAGAATCTTCAAACAAATCATTCTTGTGCAGGTAGTCACATAACTGTTTTGCAGCAACTTTTTCAAGTGTTTTAGAAATAAACGGGAGATTGGATATTGGTCTATAATTAGCTAGACACCTGGGTCAAGAATAGGCTTTTTGAGTAGAGGTTTAACTACAGCAACATTAAAGGCCTGTGGAACATAGCCTGTTAATAAAGAGAAGTTGTTCAGATCTAATATGGATGTGTTTATTAAGGGTAAATGACTTTGAGCAGCCTGGTTGGGATGGGGTATAAGAGACATTGATTTTTTTTTTTTTTTTTTTTTAATGAAGCAGTTGCTGAGGTCAGCTCAGAGAGATCTATGAGAGAGAAGCAGCCTAAATCTAAAGCTGTTGTACTTGATGATACATCTGTGAGAGTTGTGGGAAGGATCTTGATTATTTTTTTCTCTAACAGTTGTGATTTTAAGTATAAAGAAGCTCATGAAGTCATTAGTGCTGAGATCTAAGGGGATATTAAGCTCAACCTCAAGCCTACAGAACTTCACCCCCAAATTACTGTTGATTTGATAAGCAGAACTCCATCCCATTCAACCACCTCACCTTGGGCCCACAACCAGAAGCTGCTCCCCCCACCTCTAGCGATCTGTGAAAAGGATGTCCATGGCCTTTTTAAAAGACAGAACATTAAAAGGCAAAAAGATTAGAAAGGCTCCATTCCCAGATGGTGTGAATCTGTCCTGCCTGAAAGCTTGTGCTGATTGGCTAGCCCCTATCTTCACATAGATCTTTAACAGATCACTGGAGCTGTGTGAAGTCCCCTCCTGCTTCAAACGCTGAAGATGTTTCCAGCTGTAGGCAGCATAATGACTAAAAGCACTTTCACCGTGTTTAGTTTGAACTTTGGGCACCACTAGCTGACCAATCCTTGGAGATCTGAGGCACCTAACAGGCTTGTACTCGGCAAACATACAGTATATCCAATATATTTTGGGCCCATACCATTGAGACACTTGTAGACAATACATAGGGCCTTAAATAGAATTCTGTGTTTAACTGTAAGCCAATTTAAAGATCTAGTGACTTGTAACAAAATCTAGGACTGCTAGAAACAAAATCATGAATGGGCTTTTCTAAATCCTGCTTATACAGAAACTTTCTCATTTTAGTTATATTTTTAAGATGCCAGAATGATGATGATGTAATAAATCGTAAATATAGCTAGTGTACATAACAATTCAGTTTTATTTGTATAGCGCCAAATCACAACAAGTGATCTCAGGACACTTTACAAAGTCAGGTCTAGACTTTACTATTATTATTATAGAGGGAAAAACCCAACAAATCCCCCTTGAGCAAGTACTTGGCGACAGTGAGGAGGAAAAACTATCTTTAACGGAAGACACCTCCAATAGACCCTGGCTCTTTGTGGGTGGTGTTCTGCCTTGTCTGTTGGGGTGAGTGCATAGAGGAGAGAGAAAAGAAAAGCAACAAACACAACAACAAGCAATCAAACACTGGGCAGGGTGATGTGGCTGGTGACTGCTCATCAGAAATGTACAGCTCCAGAGTCAGGGCTGCCTTCTGAAAGGTACAGGGAGAGAGAGAGCACACGCTACAGGAGAGAGGAGACACAAAGGTAATGATGTAATTGTGGCATATAGATGCATGGAGAGAGAGGAGAGGAGAGGAACTCACAGCATCATGGGTTTTTGGGGAACTATAGCAGCATGGCTAAGGTAAGACTCATGGTCACCTGAGCTTAGCCCTATGTATAAGCTTTATCAAAAAGGAAAGTCTTAAGTCTAATCTTAAAGGTAGAGAGGGTGTCTACCTCTGAGACTGGGAGCTGGTTCCACAGGAGAGGAGCTTGATAGCTAAAGGCTCTGCTTCCCATTCTACTTCTGTGGACTCTAGGAACCACAAGTAAACCTGCACTCTGAGAGTGAAGCGCTCTGTTGGGATGATAAGGCTCTATGAGGTCTTTGACATACAGTGGAGCCTTGTGATTAAGGGTATATATGTTAGGAGAAGGATTTTAAAATCTATTCCGGGTTTTACAGGGAGCCAGTGGAGAGAAGCTAATATGGGAGAGATATGATCTGTCTTGCTAATTCCTGTCAGTACTCTGGCTGCATCATTTTGGATTAACTGGAGGCTTTTAAGGGAACTATTGGGACATCCTGATAGTAAGGAGTTGCAGTAGTCCAGCCTGGAAGTAACAAATGCATGGACCAGTTTTTCAGCATCACTTTGAGAGAGGATGTTCCTGATTTTGGTGATATTGTGCAGATGAAAGAAGGCAGTTCTAGAGACTTGGTTTATGTGTGATTTAAAGGACATATCATGATTTTCAGGCCCAGGTACAATCACTTCAGTTTTGTCAGTTTAGAAGTAAGAAATTACAAGTCATCCTGGCTCGTATGTCTTTAAGACGTGCTTGAAATTTGACCAAGTGATCTGATAAAAATCTGAAAGCTCTTCTGCCACAATGTGTATATATGTTTATTATAAGTAAATTCTCTTTTTTCATATTCTCTTTTCTATTTTAAATGCACATATTTTCTTATTTTACTTGTTGACTTTCAAGCACATTGAGAGCCTCTGTACCAGAGACAAATTCCTTGTGTGTTTAAACATACTTGGCCAATAAATGTAAATCTGATTCTGACTCAGATTCTGATCTTTGTGACAGCTTCATATTTAGAGAGTGTTATCAATCTTCTGACTTCTTTTTCTGAAAGAAAGCAAATAAGGTAATTCACATAGTTATACTGTTTTTTTTTTTTTAAGTTTTATACAAAGCCATTAACAATATTTTGACCAATAAGCATTTGTAACATACGTAACTACATTACAAAAACAGATATATTTGTGAGGACCTTTTAACTTGTGTTTCAAGTGACAGTAGTTAAGATATGTATAGAGTTAGACATTTTCTCTCTGGTAGGCAAATATGTAAAGGCAATTCTGTTTTTAGATGACCTCAAACATTTCTTTAGCTGCTGGCATTTGTTGTTACTTGTCCACCGCTGATATGGGTATATCTGTTCTAAGCTGTTGGCCAGAAATATCAAACATGCTCTAGAAGGAATTGAATGTTGAAAGGCTCACTGGTGAATCTAAAATGGACCCCTCTCTTTTTTGTTTGTTTGTTCATTTCAGAGGAGCTACGGAAACTCAGCTGGTCTGGAATTCCCCGACAGGTCCGACCGATTACATGGAAACTCCTTTCAGTAGGTTTTATGTGCACACAATGATTTACATTCAACACCAACAGACACAGTGTAACACAAATTTGTGTAAAGCATAAAAATATTCACAAAAACACTTAAACATACAAATATACTCCAAATCAATAACTATGTAATCTCATACTGTACATAAACTCACAAGGGACCGGATACATTAGTACCTGTATCGACAACATTGTGCCCACCATACAAGTCAGGAGGTTCCCCAACCAGAAGCCCTGGATAAACAGTCCGGTACGCCACATGCTGTGTGCTCGCTCTCATGCATTCAGATTAGGCGATGAGACGGAATACAAAGCTGCGAAGTACGGACTGAGGAAAGCCATCACAGCGGCCAAGAGGCAGTACAGAGAGAAGCTGAATGGCTTCTATTCTACTGCTGACTCCGGACAGATGTGGCAAGGCCTGCAGCACATCACAGACTACAGGACCACCACCAGCATCATCAGCTCCACAGACAGCCTGCCGGATG